TAGAAATGTAACAGATTTCTGTATATTGATTTTGTATCCTACAACTTTACTGAATTCATTTATTAGTTCTAATATTTTTTTGGTGGATTCTTTAGGGTTTTCTATATGCAGTATCATGTCATCTATGAATAGTGACAGTTTTACTTCTTTCTTTCCTTTTCTTTATTTCTGTATTTCTTTTCTTTATTTCTTTTTCTTGACTCATTGCTGTGGCTAGGACTTCCAATAGTATGTTGGATAAAAGGGGTGATCCCTTTTGTTCATCTTTGTCTTAATCCTGATCTTAAAGGAATAGTTTTAGCTTTTTGCTATTGAGTATGATGTTAGCTGTGGGTTTGTCATATATGGGCTTTATTATGTTGAGGTATGTTCCCTCTATACCCACGTTGTTGAGAATTTTTATCATAAACCGATGTTGAATTTTGTCAAATGCTTTTTCTGCATCTATTGAGGTAATCACGTGATTTTTATCCTTTGTTTTTTAAATGTAGTGTATCACATTGATTGATTTGCAGATATTGAACTATCCTTGTGTTCCTGGAACAAATTCCATTTGATCATGTTGTATGATCCTTTTAATGTATTGTTGAATTCTTTTTATTTATATTTTGTTGAGGATTTTTGCATCTATGCATATTAGGAATATTGGCCTGTAATTTTCTTTTATTATAGTGTCTTTACCTGATTTTGGTGGCAGGGCAATGTTGTTCTTGTATAATCAGTTTGGAAGTGTTCTTTCCTCTTCAATTTTTGGGAATAATTTGAGAAGGATAGATAGTAACTCTTCTTTAAATGTTTTGTAGAATTCACTTGTGAAGCCATCTGGTCCTGAATTTTTGTTTGTTGGGAGTTTTCTGATTACTGATTCAATTTCATTACTAGTAATTGGTCTGTTCCTATTTTTTTCTGTTTCTTCCTGATTAAGTTGTGGAAGATTGGATGTTTCTAAAAATTTATCCAGTTCTTCTAGGTTGTCCAATTTGTTGGCATATAATTGTTTATAGTAGTCTCTTATGATCCTTTGAATTTCTGTGCAGTTGGTTGTAACTTCTCTTCTTTCACTTCTGATTTTATTTATTTGAGCCCTCTCTCTTTCTCTTGATGAGTCTGGCTAAGAGTTTATCAATTTTGCTCATCTTTTCAAAGAATCAGCTCTTAGTTTCACTGATCTTTTCCATTGTTTTATTAGTCTCTAGTTCATTTATTTCCACTCTAATCTTTATTATATCCTTCTTTCTACTAACTTTGGGCTTTGTTTGTTCTTCTTTTTTTTAGTTCCTTTATGTGTAAGGTTGGATTGTTTATTTGAGATTTTTCTTGTTTCCTGAGGTAGCCCTGTATTGCTATAAGCTTCCCTCTTAGAACTGTTTTTGCTGCATCCCATAGATTTTTAGAATGTTGTGTTTCCATTTTCATTTGTTTAGAAGTATTTTTTAATTTCCTCCTTGATTTCTTCATTGACTCATTGTTTGTTTAGTAACATGTTGTTTAGCCTCTAGGTATTTGTGTTTTTCCCAGTTTTCTTCTGGTAATTGATTTCTAGTGTCATACTCTTGTATCTAGTCGGAGAAGATGCTTGATATCATTTCAGTCTTCTTAAATTTATTGAGACTTGTTTTCTGGCCTACCATGTGATCTATCCTGGAGAACATTCCAGGTGCACTTGAGAAGTATGTGTATTCTTCTGTTTTTGGATGGAATGTTCTGTATACATCTATTAAGTCCATCTGCTCTAAAGTGTCATTTAAGGCCCATGTTTCTTTGATGATTTTATGTCTGGATGATCTATCTATTGATGTAAATGTGGTGTTATAGTCCCCTGCTATTATTGTATTACTGTCAATTTCCCTGTTTCTGTCTATTAATATTTGCTTTATGTAATTAGGTGCTCCTATGTTAGGTACATAGATATATACAAGTGTTGCATCCTCTTCTTGGATTTATTTCTTTATAATTATGCAATGCCCTTCTTTGTCTCTTGCTACAGTCTTTGTTTTAAAGTCTATTTTGCCTGATATATGTCTTGCTACCCAAGGTTTCTTTTGTTTCTATTTCCATGGAATATCTTTTTCTATTCCTTCACTTTCAGTCTGTGTTTGTCTTTAGATCTGAAGTGAGTCTCTTTTAGGCAGTATATATGCGTGTCTTGTTTTTTTTTTTAATTCAACCACCCTGTGTCTTTTGAATGGAACATTTAGTCCATTTACATTTAAAGTAACTATTGATAAGTATGTGCTTATTGCCATTTTGTTCATTGTTTTCTGGTTGTTTTTGTAGTTTTTCTCTCTTCCTTTCTTCTTTTCTTGCTCTCTTCTGTTGTGATTTGATGACTTTCTTTAGTGTTATATTTATATTCATTTCTATATTTTTTGTTTATCTATTATAGGTTTTTAGTTTGTGGTTACAATGAGCTTCATATTTAACAATCTATGTATATAGTAGTCTATTTTAAGTTAATGGTCCCTTCAATTCAAGCACTTTCTTAAAGCATGACATTTTCACTTCTCTCACCCAAGTGTTATGTTTTTGACATCATATTTTACATTTTTTTATTTTGTGTATCCCTTAACTAATTATTGTAGATGTAAATGATTTTACTACTTTCGTCTTTTAACCTTTAAACAAGCTATATAGATGGTTGATCCACGACCTTTGCTATAGGTTTGCCATTACCAGTGAGATTTTTTTTTCTCTTATAATTTTTATTATTTCTAGTTATGGCCTTTTTTCCCTCCATGAAAAGATGTCTGTTTAGCATTTCTTGTAAGGCTAGTTCAGTGATGATGAACTCCTTTAGCTTTTGCATGTCTGGGAAACTCTCTCTTCTTCAATTTTGAATGAAAACCTTGCCACGATGAGTATTCTTGGTTGTAAGTTTTTTCTTTCAGCACTTTGAATATATCATGCCACTCCCTTCTGGCCTGTAAAGTTCCTACTGAAAAATCAGCTGATAGTGTTATGGGGGCTCCCTTTTACATAACTAATTGTTTTTCTCTTGCTGCTTTTCTCTCTTTATCTTAACTTTTGACATTTTAATTATTATAAGTCTTGGTGTGGGTCTCTTTGGGTTCATCTTATTTAGGACTCTCTGTATTTCCTGAACTTGGAAGTCTGTTTCCTTCACCAGATTGGGGAAGTTTCAGCCATGATTTCTTCAAGTAGGTTTTCTGCCCCTTTCTCTCTCTCCCTTCTCCCTCTGGGGCCCCTAATGCGAATTTTAGTATGCCTGATGTTGTCCCAGAGATACTTTAAGGTATTCTCATTTTTTTTAATTCTTTTTTTTTTTTTTTTTTGGCTGTTCTGATTGGATGATTTCCATTACCCTGTCTTCCAGATCACTGATCCATTCTTCTGCATCATTTAATCTGCTGTTGATTGCCTTTAGTGTATTTTTCACTTCAGTTATTGTATTCTTCAGCTCTGATTGATTCTTTTTCATATTTTCTACATTTTTGTTGAAGCTATCACTGCAGTCATCCATTGTTTTCCTGAGTTGGGTGAGCATCTTTATGACCATTACTTAGAACTCTATCTGGTAGATTCCTTATCTTCACTTCATTTAGTTCTTTTTCTTAGGTTTTGTCTTCTTTTGTTTGGAATGTATTCCTTTGTTTCCTCATTTTGCCTAACTCTCTGTGTTTGTTTCTGTGGATCAGCTGCATCTCCCAGTCTTGAAGAGGTGGCCTTATGTAGAAGGTAACCTATAGGGCCTAGTAGTGCAATCCCCCTTGCTCACCAGACCCAGGTGCTCCAGGTGTGTCCTCTGTGTAGACTGCATGCACCTTCCTGTTGTGCCAGGGCCATGATTGCTGTGGGTGCACTGGTGTGTGGATCTGGTCTCCCGGAGCTGGAACCACCTAGTAGGGGCTCTGGTGCCAGCCAGGGCCACTCACCAGGTGCAGCAGGGTGAGAGCCCCTTTCAGCAAGTCAGCTTTGGATTTGTTGTTATTATATACCACATTGGCTATATTTGACTTTTTCACAAGAGTGGGTTTATGGGCTAATTAGGTAATTAAATTTTTGATCTTGGCAAATATTTAGCTATATTAATTAAAATGACAAGTCAAAAAAGTAAACTGACTTCCTTTGCAAAGTTTTTTGGCCATATTTTTACACAGTCTATCTTTAAAAGACAAATTAGGTCATAAAAAAGGTCATTTTAAAATCTCAAAGAATGTTTATATTTTATCTTAGAAAAAATTTTAAAGCAATAAAATTATCATTCTTTGGTTTCTTTTCTATATTACATTTTCAAAGATCTGAAAAAATTCAAAAATAACTAATGCTATTTCAGAAAAGAAAGAAAAAGATAACTTTGTGTTAATAGCTCAACATCAACTTCTTATAAAAGAATCTTGCTTTTTAGTGATATATGGGTTGCATTATCTGCCTATGTTAAGTCTGAACAAATGTTTTTTGTCTAAATTATGTAATCTACGTAGAATTATTCTTAATTTTATGTTTAAAGTAACACTATCAGGATTATTAATCTCAAATTATTTCTAATGATGCTTCATTTCAAGATTCTTTTTTAAATTTATTTGTTAGGAGAAGGGCAGAGGGATATCATTATTTATGATCTTGATTTACCTGCCTGATGTCCACTGCAGAATGATTCATTTATTGCAAGCATTTGGATGTAGGTGTTTCACTTTAAGAAAATCCAATTTTGTTATCCAATATAAAACATACTCCCTGGGGACAAGGGAGAAGGGTATGAAATTACTTAATTAATACCCAATTCATAACTTTGAAATGCACCCTAAGGTATATCAGGAAGATCTGGTTCAAACACACACACAGATACACAAACACACACAAATTCACTATATACATGGCACTCTGTAGAGTCATGGGTATTTCAAAAAGTCAAGATATCACTGCGTAGCAATAAATCAAATGTCTGGACATTGAACAAGTTCAAAAGGCCACTGCTATTGTATCAAGGCTTTTGGAGTCTTTCATAAATAAGCATCCTGACATCTTCCCCTCTTTTGCAGATGACCTCTCTCAACAGGAGGACAATGATCCCCCAAAAGAATATGATCCTGGGCAATTTGCAGGCCTTCTCCATGGATCCTCTCCAGCCTGTGAGTCCCCAGAAAATCCATTTCATCTCTATGGGAAAAAAGATGAACGTGAAGAAGCACAAGATGAAGTCAGCTTGGCAAGTAGTCCTTTGCCTTCCAAGAAATCTCCAATGGAAAATAACTCAGAACCTTCGGTAAAGAAAATTAAACCCAAAGTGGTCAGTAGAACAATTTTTCACAAAAAAAGCAACCAACTCGAAAACCATACTATTGTTGGCACAAGAACAAGTAGGAGTGGATCCCGGAATGGGGACCAATGGATTGTGAACACGGGGGGATTTGTGGAGAGAGCCTGTACCCTGGGGAGAATAAGGTCATTGCCAAAAGCCCTGATCGACATGCATTTATCTAAAAGTGTCTCTAAATCAGATTCTGATCTCATTGCTTACCCTTCAAATGAGAAAACATCAAGAGTTAACAGGAGCGAATCTTCAACTGCTGAACATAGTTCTAAAGGAAATTCTGAAAGAACACCGTCCTTCACTTCCGAATGGGAAGAAGTAAGCTTTGTTCTTGTTCTTTATATAAGGCTTTAGAGTTGAGGGAGGTTTGGGGGAAGGATTTTCAGCCTTTCAAGTCTTTCAGAGGCAAAAAAAATATCAACAAATGCATACAGCTCCAAGTGGAAGAGAAAGGTTCTAGGGGTAATACATGATAATTTCACAGCAAGCGTGAAAACACAGTTCCACACATGTGGAGAAATCTATTGTTTCCATAGAAATTGATATCAAGCAGAAGTAATAACTAGCTATGAGGTACAAGAGAATATTCACATTATGTCCTACCAAGCACTGCAGCTGACAAATTGAGGAAAATCTTTGTATTTTTGCTGCTCTGTATCATTTTGCTACTTGCTAAACTTTTTGTTAGCTCGTCTCCCTTTTTTAAAATAAATTATATTTTGAGAAGAGCTCCTTATAATCTTAACCTTAGTGGTAAACAGAATAGTCCTGGCTCTCTTCCAAGTACCATATAATAAACACAAATTACCTAATATTTCCCTTTTACAACTATCAGAGAGACATTAAAGAAAAAATGTGTTGGAGTCAAGTATCACCAATTTAAGCTCTACTTAAAGATAAAGTCTTTAATTTCATAGAATTACTCAGAAAGTAAGTATACTGTAAGGTTATGAAATATCATCCTTTGTCCCAAGGAGGACTACGTCATAAAATAATGTTTCTTGCTTTTTCTTGAATTTCTACAAAGCATCGACCACACTCGCTCTTGGCATTTCATTCTAACATGTCACATTTTGTCTCTCAAAAGACTGTGCCACTTGGATTAGGTTTTAAAGCACACTAGGTCACTGCAGTATTCTGAGAACTAGAAAGGGAAATGGTTCTGATATTGACATTCTGAATTGAGCTGTTTGGGAAAATCACTTATCTCTCTGCATCTGTTTCAGAGTGAACAAAATGGGACATTTAAGTAATACTCATCGTCCTTTCTGAAACCTGCCATTTTACTAAGGTTGTTAAGATTATGAGGAGGGGGATTAAACCATAAACGGCTAAAGCTTAGATAGTGGTATCTTCCTATAGATTCCATACTAGTAGCTTGATAGTTTATTTGAATCTATCCATTGCTTATGTGTATTAACTCTGTGAATAACATCTGAAGTCCGTTTTGAACCAGGCAGGTTTAATTAACATTTAACTTATCTCTTAGAATTAAGTTGTTTCCATGCCTAGATTCTTGTGATTACATGCCACAAATCAGCCTGTGGCTGATCAAACCCTTGAGTAAGAACTTGGTTCCCATGGCCCTGCCCACAAACTGAAACCTGCCCCTTCACCAGTCAGATGAGATGCATGCCTCAGACACAAGAGGAAGGATGCCCGAGAGGACAGACCTCATCACATGGGCTCATCTTCAACCTCTTGCCCTTCTGAGTTTAAAGAATACACAATTCCTAATTTACTGACCCATGTAGGTCCAAACAAAGTTTATTTTAGAAAATACAAAGAAAAGGTAACTGATTTTGGAAGTTTAAGAAAGGAAAACTTAATGTTTTTAGAAGCAATTCAAAAGATGTTTGCTTCCCTTTAAACCTTTGTTTGTCAGTCTCTTAACTGTACTATTTAGCAGTAATAATATCAAGAATATATGCTTCTGGCATTTGAAAGTTATTTTAAAATGCAATGCTAAAAGTGAATGTAGTAATTCATTTATATGATTTTTGTTTCTCGCAGATTGACAAAATAATGAGTTCCATAGATGTTGGAATTAACAGTGGACTTAAAGAAATAAATGGTGAGATCACAAGTAAGGAAACCTCTCCTCTACCTTGTAATGGATAAATGTGTTCAAGAACTAGCTAGAAAATGATGGTCTTTAGATAATTTCATGTTTTATCATAATAACAGCAGCTGCAAATTATTTCCTCCCTCTCATATCAAAGACCTGTGACCTCTAAACAACATCAATTATAAGTACATTGATTTAGCAAAGTGAAAGATATTTTCCCATATGCTATTTCACCATGCCAGTTAACATTAACAGAGTTTCAACTTTAAGAGCTAAGTATAAACACTTCAAAGTGTTTCAAATATGTTCAAAGTGTGGTGGAATATGATGACTTAATACACTACTATCTCTTGTTCAGTGAAATACCTCATTTCATCCTGGCCAAAGTGGTTAACAACTTCTCCAAGTTGTAAGCTCCAGTATGGCAAGAACTATGTGTTACTCATCTTCGTATATCCCAGAATACCTAGTAGAGTCTCACAAATAGTCAGTTTTGCAATCACTATTTAATATATTACCCTTTAATATAATACCCTTAATATATTACCTTTTCTTCCCTACAATTAAAGCTCAGAGTGGAAGGCCATTTGTACCTTTCTCTGAAGACTTTTTGCTTAATACTGATGGGTGATGCCATATAGCTAAACCTAAAAATAACAGTAATATTCATACTAAAGAAACTACTCTTCTGGAAAGAGTCAAAGACCCAGCTCCATTTCTACCCTCCCACTACATAGTATTGTAACTGTAGATTAGATAGGTCTATAAAATTTGAAGTTAAAACAGGTGATTTCTAAGCTCTCAGGAGAACTCATGTTTAAGTTAGTAGCAATACTTGATGTTTCTGTAGAGATAATAAGAATAAAGTCTGTGAGAGAGAAGCCTTGATATATTATAGGGTAAACAGTTACGGGACTCTGTGGCCCTTTGACTAGTCACCAGGGGCTTTTAAACAGCACTCCAAGTGACTCTTAAGCACAGGAAAGTTGGAGACCAGTTCTCTTATGGTGCACTCGGCCTGGGTGGATAAGAAGTAACATGGAAATCCAGGCTTGCAGTCACTGAAGGGAATATTCAGGTCTAAATGAGACCCTTCTAGGGCTCACTTATTTCTCCTGTGCTAGAACAAGAACTTAAATTATTCTAATATGGCCGGCCCATATTAATTAAGCAATAATTTTTTTAAAAGTTAAATATTTTTTCTGAAATGCTCATTTGTTTTAGATTTTAGAAACTAAAAAATTTTGAAAAATTGTGTGCATATGTTTAGTGATACAAGTATGATATTAGCTCTGTGGTAGCATGTGTAACCAGGTCTCTCACACAGAAATGCTGATAAATATTGAGGACTTTCCTGGTATTCAAAGAACTAGCGTAGGAATGTATGTTGCCACCTAGTTCTTTCAGGTATGCTAACAGAATAATTTCAAGAAAGTTGTAGGAATGCAGATTTTTGATTGATGTGACTATTGATTTTCTTATCAATAGTAAATTCCCTGATACTGAGGATGTTCAAGCAAAGACCTACAGCTTTTTTGTTGGGAGACTTAGGTGACGTTGAGCATTACTCTAATGTTCTAAAATTCTTTAAGCAGGTAGTACCACAGAATTGTAAAAATATCATAAATGTGATTATAGTGAAAATAAGGAAAATGTTAAAAATGCCACTCAGGCAAAGCTGCCTTTGAAAGGTATTTTAATGGTAAAGAAATCCACAGATTATTTTCCCTTAATTCTCCTCTTTTCACCTCTCATACCCGGATCCTACCCATTGCCTCTATTTACTATTTTTCTACAGTGACAATGAAAACGGAAGTAGAGACTCAGTCCTCAAAGCATCATTACTATTAACAAAGACTGGTTCTGTATGCGCCTTAATTTTCACCTCTTAATTACACAGTAATTATGAACATGTGGCATTCCCATTGGCTATTAGGCCATTTGTGAATTATGGCTCTACTGGGCTACAGGCTTTTCCCTCTCAAAGCTAGATAAAACTAGAGAGGTGATAAACAGTCCTACGAAGATGGCATTCCAGGAATAATGTATTGGGGTGCTGAGTGTGGTCAGGAAATCACATGATGAAGTAAAAAATCAGAGAGATATGAATTCAAATTTCAGCTCTGCTTTTGCTAGCTGCTTGATCTCAGGCAACTCAATTTTCTCATCAACAGAAATGGGGATATTAATATAGGATCTTTGTAGAGACATGAGCAATGGCATATATGTAGAGTCTGACACAAGTCGATATGTGTTACATTTTGGCTCCCCACTTGCCCTACCATGTGGGAGACGTTGTGTTTGACACTGTGGGCATACCAAGATAAAAACACATCAGCCCTTTCTATAAGAACCTTATGATGCACCACTAAAATATACAACTATGTACTTGGGGATTTGGGGAGAAAAAGCAAAAAAAAAAGAAAGAAAAAGATTGGCAACAGTTGTTAGCTCAGGTGCCAATCTTAAAAAAAAAAAAGAACCTTATGATGTTAGCTAGTCTCATGGTCTTTGTGTTACATTTGCTGTATTCTTTGAAATTGTTGTGATGTGTCAGTTGGAATACTGGTCATAACAAGCCCAATGGTTAATTGGTACCAGATAAGGTAGTTACTAAAAGAGAGCATAAAATTCCAGGGTACCCCAGCAAAAAAAACCAGAAAATTCTAGACTCTATCAATGTAAATAGTCTAAATTATTTTGAGATCATATTGGTCTATAACATTGTGTAAATTTCAGGTGTACATTATTATATTTCAGCTTCTGTGTAGACTGCGTGTTGACCACCAATAGTCTGTTTTTATCTATCACCATATATATATGCCTCTTTACTCCTTTCATTCTTCCCATTTCCCTTCCCCTCTGGTAACCACTAATCCGATCTCCATATCTATGTGTTTCTTTGCTTATCTTCCACATATGAGTGAAATCATATGGTATTTGTCTTTCTCTGTCTGACTTATTTTGCTTGGCATAATACCATCAAGGTTCATCCGTGTTGTTGAATATGGCACAATTTGTCCTTTTTTATGACTAATATTCCATTGTATATATACCACATCGTCTTTATCCATTCATCTGTTGATGGGTATTTGGGTTGCTTCCACATCTTGAATAATGCTGCGATGAACATAGGGCTGCATAAATCTCTTTGAATTGTTGATTTCATGTTCTTTGGATAAATACCCAGAAGTGGAATAGCTGAATCATATGGTGTTTCTATTTTTAATTTTTTGAGAAATCTCCATACTGTTTTCCATAGTGGCTGTACCAGTTTTCACTCCCTCCAGATTGTATGAGGGTTCCCTTTTCTCCACATCCTCTCCGACACTTGTTATTTCTTGTGTTTTTAATAATAGCCATTCTGACAGGTATAAGGTGATATCTCATTGTAGTTTTGATTTGCATTTCCCTAATAATTAGTGATGCTGAACATCTTTTCTTGTGCCTGTTGGCCATCTGTATATCTTCTTTGGGAAATGTCTGTTCATATCCTCTGCCCATTTTTTGATGAGGTTGTTCATTTTTTTGTTGTTGAGTTGTATGAGTTCTTTATATATTTTGGAAATTAACTCCTTGTCAGATACATGATTTGCAAATATTTTCTCCCAGTTAATGAGTTGTCTTTTCATTTTTTTTTTTGATGGCTTCCTTTGCCATGTAGAAGATTTTTAGTCTGATGTAGTCTCATTTGTTTATTTTGCTTGTTTGTTTCTTTTGCCTGAGGAGACATGGTATTCAAAAAGATACTGAGACCGATGCCAAAGAGCATACTGCCTATGTTTTCTTCTACAAGTTTTATGGTTTCAGATTTTACATTAAAATCTTTAATCCTTTTTGAGTTAATTTTTGTGTATGGCATAAGGTAATGGTCTACTTTCATTCTTTTGCATGTGATTGTCCAGTTTTCCCAACACCTAAATGGTCTAAATTATTTTTATGAAATCTGAGTATCCTCTTTTTTTCTTGATAGTGGGAAAGATGTGCAATGAAATTAATGGAAGGTAATTTTAGAATAAGCAAGAGGAAATACTACTTTACCTAGGAGATATTGTCAGTCTCTAGACTTTTGCTGTGGAAGGCCACTGAGCCCATCACTATGTCTGGCTTTAATTGAGCTGCATAGTTTCTTGAGCATTTATGGTGATTGTTGCTAAAAAACCTCCAAAGATGATTGAGAGAATAAAATCATAACCAATAGAGATACATGAAGGATCAGGGTCAGCAATAAATTTTCCATGTCTTGCCCATTTTGTTTCCAAGTTTTTGTTTGCCCTTACCCCCACCTGCATATGTGAATTTTAGGAATTCTGTAAACAAAATATTTATTGGACCAGGAAGATTTGGAACACGCTCATCGTCACTCTCCTATCAATATGAACCAGCTCAAAGTTTGAGCAGTCTCTATGAACTAGTTCCACTCACAGAAACCACTTTCCTCTTTTTTAAAAAAAGATTTCCTCAGCAATTACATGGTAGTTTGAAACTTATCAAGCAACCTCAACTGTCCAGGACTAAGACAAATAAAAGTAAATAAAATTTACTGCATTAATTTTAAGTCAGTCCCTTAGGTTCTCACTCAGAATAATATTAATGCATAATTTTTGCAAACGTAACTTCTGGTTTCCCACTGGAAACCAGATTTAAATGCCAAACAAGTTGGCCCTGTCAGTATAATTCGTTATATTGAATACCTCATATTATGTAGAATATCCTGTTCTTTGGTGATGCTAGGTATGTGATATGATAGTAAATTTTATATCTTCATGTACTCCCATGTATAGGATTTTTCAGAGAACAAGTTTTGAAGTTAGATAGACTTGGTTTCAGATCTCAGCTTTGCAATTCACTGGCTTTGTGACCTCTTTGATGCTTCCTCCTCTATAAATTCAGAGTTTGCACAATCACCTCATAAGACTTCTATAAGATTAAATTATATACTTGTACTACTATAACCTAGAACATTCCAGGTGATCAATAAATAAAAATTCTCTTGCCTTCTTATCCAAGTATGCATG